TAATAGTCTAAAAGAAGAATCGATGGCCAAACTCCCGACCTACCTAAAGATACAATCCCACAATATTGAGTAAACGTCAGGCATAGTTGTATTCGAATTCTGAAGTGAGAATACTTGACTCCTCTTCCCGCCTCCTCGAAGACCCCCCCCCGCGACTCTTGAAGTCCGCCGCAGCCGCCGACGAGCGACGACGACAAGGACAAGGTGCTCGCGACGCTCTTCCCGGAGCTCAAGAAGCTATCGACGTTGCAGTGGGTCGGGTACCTCTCGTCGACGTCCGTGTACGGCGACAGCCACGGCCATGTCCTCGATGAAACGGCGCCGCTGCGGTCAGCGACCAAGCGCGGCCAGCAGCGGGCGCGCGTCGAGGCCGAGTGGCTCGCGTCTGGTCTGCCGGTCCACATCTTTCGCTGCGCCGGCATCTACGGCCCAGGTCGCGGGACCATTGCGCAGGTCCGCGCCGGTCGCGCCAAGCGCATCCACATGCCGGGCAAGGTCTTCAACCGCATCCACATTGACGACGTGGTCAATGTGCTCATGCAGTCGATCGCGACGCCGTCGCCCATGAGCATCTACAACGTCTGCGACGACGAGCCGTCGAGCAGCAACGACGCGGTCACGTTTGCATGCGACCTCCTTGGCGCCGACGTGCCGCCGTTGCAGTCGTGGGACGATGTGAAAAGCAGCATGAGCGACATGGCCAAGTCCTTTTATGTCGAGAACCGTCTTCTCTCGAACGCCAAGATCAAGTCGGAGCTCGGCGTCCAGCTCCTATACCCGACGTACCGCGAAGGCTTTGTGGCGCAAGCCGACGAAGAGCAGAACACGCCGTCGATGCGCGCGTCCAAGTCGCACATTTGCTTTGTCGTCAACAAGGGCTCGTTGCAGCCCGAGGCGGTCCTTGCGCTCCGGGACATGTGCCGCAACCTCTCGGTGCGCTTCAACGGCTGCGTGCGCTTTGTCCCGTCGAGCTGCGTTCTTTCCAACACGATCCCGATCCAGCAGCTCGACGACGTGCCGGCCGTGCTCTTGCAGGACGCGGTCGCGGGCGTCGTCGCCGACCCGAGTACGGCCGCCACCAAGTTTGTCGTGCTGCCCGTCTTCATCGGCAACAGCGATGCGCTCACGGACTTTATCCCGTCAATCGTTAGTGCCTTTACGGGCCATCGGTTCACGATCGCGCGCTGCCTCGTCGACATCTCCAAGCCGTCGGAGAATGGGATCGCCAAGATTTTGGCGTCCAAGGTGCGCGGTGCGATCGCCGACCACCGCGGAGTGTTTGAGAAGAAGGACATTCGCGTCATCGTCGTCGACCGGGGCACAACCAACCACGAGGTGCACTTGTCGCGCGACCTGATTGGATCCCAGCTCACAAAGCTGCTGGGCGGCGCGGTCCGTGCCACTATCAATGTATCAACTGTGACTCAGGACATGCGTTGTAGGTCGAGAAGGTGCACACGGCCAGCATGGAGCGCGTCGACGAGCCGCAGTACGACTTTAACGAGCCGCTCCTTTCGCATGCGTTCGAGACATATAAGATCTCGTCGGGCCTTGTCGTGCTTGCGTTGCTCTTCCTCACGTCCGGTCGCCACGCGGTGCCGGGCGGCGACATTGAACACGTGGTGGCGGCGACGAAAGCGGCGCACCCGAACCTCGAGGTCGCTGTCACGGCGCCCATTGGGTCGCACCCGATTCTGACCAATATGCTCATGGACCGGTACTTCGAGTCGGTGAAGGAGTGGTAGCGCGCAGCGGTCGTCTTTGATGGAAGAAGACAACGAAGAAGACAGCCAAGGTGACGAGACAACGGGGGCACATGTGTGTGGCCCGAGTGAGCGCGGCCCGAGCTCGCCGTCGTTGGGAAGCGCGATGCCTCGGGCCCACGAAGAAAAGAGACGATGCGCTCGCGGGCAGGCCGTAGGACTAGTCAAGCCAATTATTGCGCCCGCCAAAAGCACCTAAAAAATAGAACTGATAGCATACGACGCCTTGCATGCCCACGATCTCGATGTTCATCACCGGCGCCATCGTATTGGCCTCCAGACGCATGGGCGACGGCAGCTTCGTCGCGGCTGCGGGCCGCACGCCACGTGGTGTGCCACGCATGCCGCGTCTGGAGCGCGCGCACTGGGCCGATCGTTTTCTCTTTTTATTTTTATTGATTTGATAGATGTATGATACCTCGAATCGTTTTATTCTTTAAATTGGCAACGTGCGCGCGTGCCAGGTGCACGATCATTCCCTCGGTTTAAGCACTCGTGGTAGTTTAGGATCTGGTCACTTCGCAAAACCACGATGGCAGCGTGGCGATCGGCGCGCTTCCTCGGGCGACAGCACGGCCTCATGGCCCTATGCTCGTCCACCTGTCTTGCCTCTATGGCCTACGCTGAGGCGACGCCGGATGAGTATGCGCCGACGGCGCAGGAGAAGATCGTCGGGCGCTACGAGAACCGCCTGCGCCGCTTCAGCACGCCCGAGCGCGTCTTCGAGTACTTTGCGAGCGTCCAGCTCGAGAAGCAGTCGTACATGACGCCGGCCGACTTTTCGCGCGCGCTGACGCCCTACTCGTTCCGGCGTGGCGTCGAGCTCCGGTCCAAGAACACGACGTTCAACCCGGCGGCTGCGCTCGCGACGCCCAAGAAGCCCGAGGTCGCGGCCTACAAGCAGCTCCTCACGCAGCTCATGGCGCTTGGCGACAAGATGGACGCGGCCAAGCTCGCGAAACGTCCCGTGGCACATGGCGATATGAAGGAGATGGAACTCCTGCTCACGATGCTCGGCACGACGTACGCCAAGATGGATCTGCAGACGCATTTGCTCGTGCTCCGCGACTTGAACGTCACGAAGCGCGAGTTTGACACGTTTCTGACCACGCATGGCGGCCCCGTGAGCCGCACGCACGCCTTCTTCGACCTTGTCGACGCCGACGGCGACGGGCTCATCTCGTACCCCGAGTACATGTTCTTTACGACGCTCCTCAGCAGTACGACGACTTTGATCTCATTGCGACGTCTCATCATGGCATGCTAGTTCCCGAACGCCAATTCGAACTCGCGTTCAAGATGTTTGACGACGACGGTAACGGCGAGATTGACCACCGCGAGTTCAAGCAGGTACCCTGCCCTACTCGATCTACCATGCGTGTTCATCGAGGCGCCTAGATCATGGAGCTCATGCGCCGCCGGACGCCCGCGGGGCGCCAGGACCGTACGCTCGACGAAAACTCGACGCCTGTCTTTAAGAACCTCTTTGGTGATTTCGCCACGTCCGTCGTCCGGCACGGTGCACCATGAGGAGCTGACTCGTGCGTAGGGAGACGCTGACGTACGCCAAGTTCAAGGCTTTTCGCCAGAGCCTCAAGGACGAGGTCATGCATCTGCATTTCGAGCACTATGACGTGGACGGGAGCAACGAGCTCTCGCCGCGCGAGTTTGGTATGTTTCTCATCTCGCACGTCGACCAGGTACGGTGCTATTTTGCTGCAAGACGATATGGGTGTGCATTGCGATGCTAGATGCAACTCGACGAATGGGTCGCGAAGGTCGATGCGCTGCATAAAATGGAGGTCCGTGGACGTGCCACGTCACGACGATATATCTCAGAACGTATATACATGTATCAATCTATGTAGGGCAGCATCTCGGAGCAAGAGTTTAAGAACTTTTACCTCTTCCTCGACAACCTCGATGCGATGAAGGTACCCTTGTTACCAGGATAGAATCGCCCGTTCCACGTGTTTTGGAACCTAGGTGGCCATGGAGCTGATCCACGAGACCAACGGACTCAACAAGGAGCAGTTTCTGCGGGCGACGCGGGCTGCGTGCGGCGGCGGCATCCCGCTCGTGTCGACGCACCAAGTCGACATCATCTTTGCGCTCTTCGACGCCGACGGCGATGGCGCGCTGTCCCCGGCCGAGTTTCTCGATGTGATGGAAACGCGCCGGAGCGCCGGTCTCCGCGAGGTACGCTCTCTCTCTCTGGCATCTGCATCGGACGACAAAGGAATGGCTATGTGTAGCGGCGTGACATTGGCGCGGTCGACTTTGTCCAGCGCCTCCTTGCGTGTGCCCAAGAGTCGATGGCGGCTTGAAGAGTCGTCCAACCACAGCGTTCAGCTAGTCGTTTGCTAAATTTGCAATGCACGTGGCACATCAAAGACTGTCGTCTTAGAGTTTATTACTTGGTCGAGTACTGCATGCTGCTCATCTAGGGTGCATGCATTCGATGGATGCACCCTTGGTGCTGTTGTACGACATGATGAGGTGTGCCACAGACGGACGCAACGCGATCTTGAAAGGTCGCCATTCCGAGTGTGGCCGCGGACCGCGTACCCGCTGCTCATGACCACGCACGCCGAGACGACTGGCGGCAGCAAGCAGTTCCAGAGCATACTCGGCGTTGTGCTGCTGCTCACACTGCTCTACTGGTCGCGCCGCTATGTCCTTGGGCGCAGTGTGTCGTGGATCGCAAGCCTCGTCACGGGCCAGCGCGTTCGGATCCAGCAGATGACGCTGCAGCCGCTCACGCTTAGCGGCATCGAGGTCGCGACGACCGACGGCGTGCAACTCCAGCTCTCTCGCCTCCAAGTGGATGTGCATTTGCGGGCCTTCTTGGCCTCGTTCGGGCAAGGCAAGCTCCTGCGTCTCTTCTTGGATGACGTGATCGTCACCGCGTTGCCGCGCCCACCCCCTTTGTCGCCTCCCGCTCGCCGCAAGCGCCGTACGTGAACGTATGTGCAATCTCGATCGGTTGATACGTTGATACACGTAGAAAGTGCAAAGTCGACGTCGGCGCTTGTCGGCCTCTTGAAGTTTACGCACATCCACGTCAAGTCACTCGCGCTGCGCGGTATGCTTGCACGCGAGGACGGAAACGGCTTTCTCGGAGGTCTCGGCCTCGTGCGGGACCTCGACTTGCGGATCGCCGATGCCACGAGCGCGACAACGTCTGTCGCTGTCGTCATCTCGCACGCAGAGCTAAGCGTCGTCGCCAAGCTTTTAGAGACGCCGTCATTGGACGCCATCTCGGAGCGTCCGTCCTTGGTGGTTCAAGCCAACGAGCTCCAGTACACGATCGAGCTCGACTATGTCCAGCTACTGCCGCAGCACATCGCCGTGCAAGGCCCACACGCCACCGATCCGAGTGCGACCGTGGTGCTGCATGCGGCGTTGCTCGCGTACTTAAGCGCGATGACGTCCGAGACCAAGACGACGGCGGCGCCACGCAGCGCGCAGCCTCCTACTTCGTTCCACCTCGACACGATCGCACTGCAGATGACGTTTGTGCATGGCCCTGACGACGCTCCCACCGAGCTCCGGATGCGCACGCTGGTCGACGCGATCCGCGTCACCAAGCAGATCGAGTCCTCGGGCACCGAGCTGACGCTGGACGCGACTGTTCGCAGCGGCTCGGTGTGGCTCGGTGACGTTACGTGTCTGCTCTGGACGTCCATGACAGTACGCTTTCTGTCTTTGCGCTTGCATATCGAGATGAGCGCGTGCATTAGGTCCGTGTACGTCACCGGTTGACAGGTGAGATGGAGACGATCGAGATGACAAGTGACGTCGGCGAGCTCTCCGTGCATTGGTCGACGCGTCTGAGGATGCTAGCCGACGCGACCGAGAGGGCGTATCAAGAGAGCAAGTCGTCCTCGCCACGTCCTAAAGTGCCCCTCGTTCTTGTGGTCACGCTGCGCTGCGGGCAGGCGACGTTCGAGGCCGTTGACGCGGACAAAGCACTCAAGACGCATCTTACCAAAGTACATGCGAATGTCGCAAAGACCGTCGACCAGTCGCGTCTTGAGCTCGAGATTCAAGATGGAACGTGGCGACTGCTGGCGCAAGACGAGCTTCTGAATGTCGTGACCTCGGCCTCGCAGTTGGTGGTCACGGAGGTGGTCGCACCCACCAAGAGCGTGGTTGTGGACATGACGATGACGACCCTCGAAGCGACACTGCTGGGACTGCCCCTTTGTCAGCTCACTCAACTGCACGTGGCGTCTGCCGAAAGTGGCAACGACGTCCAGCAGATCGAGGTCGGTGTCGACGCAGGGATCTTCCACTGGGTCTTTCCACTGCATGCAGCGCGCTTGGCTGCGGGCACGAATGCGCTGTCGATTTTGCTCTGGGTCCAAACCATCATGGAGCCCCCCAAGCCCCCCATGCCATCGAAGAAGCCTGTGCACCTTGTTCTCGAAAGCAAAGAGATGTGTGTGCACATCGCCGAGATACCACACGTTGGAGCTTGCGCGAGCAACATCACACAGCTCCACGTCCACGTGCAGGGCGGCAGGACGCAAGTTCAAGTCCAACATTTGGTGCTGCGCCACGACGCGACCTGTGTCATCGAGTGCTCCGACTTGCATCTTGTCGACACCAAGCCGACGGCCTCATGTGCTGCGAGCCACCTCCAAGTGGATCTCACGTCCATGTCCTTGGTCCTCGGCACCCACTTTCGACTATTGGCGCTCGTGCTTCAACTACAAGAGCTCATGGCACCCCCACGGCGCGACCGAAGTGGGCATTTTAGCAGTAAGTACCATTGTTCTCATGGCTGAGCGTAGGCCTACCACCGCCGCTCAAGCTCGACGTCAACGTCCGCACCGTCGTGGCCACGGTCTTGGACGCGCATCAGAGGCCTGCGGGCCGGCTCGAGGCCAGTCAGTACCACGTCAAAACGACGTTGACGCCGTCGTCCAGCACCAGTCTCTCGGACGACCACGCGGCGCTGGTCCGTGACCTCGATAGCGTGCTTTCGTTTGAAGTCTACCGGCCGCTCCTCACGCGTCTCGTGGTGATCGACCTCGAGATGGACACGGGCAGCATCGACATGGCACTGAACGATGTGGACGAAGCCCGCGTCGCGCACCTCCAGCTGCGGTCGTTGACGCTCGGCGGGCGTCTCCTGGACATGGCGGGGGACTTTGGCAGCGTCGACGCGCGAGCCCCCGGAAAGCGCCTCGGGGTGTCCCTGCACATTGCAGGGCACGGCATCGCACTAAATGTGCTGCACCCTACCGCCGTCGCCACCCTCGCCGCGTCCGTCGGTCGCACATTAGTGTACGCTTTGGACACGGCCGTCTTGGAGGCAATCCACGGTCCCCGCGGCAACCCGCGGTTCCAATTTTTCGGCGAAGTCGACGTATCGGCCACGGACGTCGCGCTGCGGTACGCGCTAACCGACGATATCACCGCGCAGCTCCGCGTCGCGCAGCTGCAAGTGGTCTGCGACAAGACGTACCGCGTTGACGGGCACGTCACGCAGCTAAGCGTCGGCCTCGTGTCGGACATCGTGCTGCTGGCCCGGCTCAGCGTCGTGGTGCACTGCGTCCTCGACGACCGCGACCGCTCGTGCGATGCGTGGTCCCTCTCGGTGGCGGCCAGCATCCGCGCATTGCACGAGACCGACTGCAATGGCCTTTTGCTCGAGTGGGCGTCGGCACTCGCAGTGCTACGGGCGCTTGCACATCGCCTGTCGGCGCCGCTCGCTCCGCCGACCGTATCGCTCGATCCACCGCCTTTACGCTTCTACCGCATCGCTCGTCTGGCGCTGCAGGTCACGATTGCGCCGCTTCAGATGGCGTGGTGGCAAGACGCGTTCGCGAACCAAGCGTTTTTCGCCCAAGCCGAGACACTGGACGTGACCCTCGGACTTGTCGAAGCGCATGGAGAATGGACGCTGCCCACGTGCCGGATCGCTGCGACAAGCACGCGGGCGTATGAGCTCACGACGCGCGATGCCAAGGCCGGACCGATTCCGTTTCTGCGGGGCCCACCGACGTCGTTTTTTCTGGAAGCGACTGTGCTCGAGTACGCCAAGAGCACGCTGCCGTACATCCCGATCCACCTCGATGAGTGCAAGCTTCTCTGGACGGTCGCGCTGCGGGACCACGTCTGTGGTGTCATCGATCTCGTACACCGCGACGTGCTCGGGCTGCAAACCGAGAAAGGCAGCACGTCGTCTGCACCGGCGGCAACGGCTCCCGTTGTTCTGCCCGAGTCCGTGGCGCCGCTTTCCTTATTGGAGCTGCTCGAGCAAGGCAAGCTCGGACCGCGTGTCTCGGATGCCGCGCCGGCCGCGACCAATGCGCACGAGACCCGCGATCTGGTCAAATTGTATCAACTTGATATTGAGCACGTGCAAATCAACGTGCTCGAACCGGCAACCAAGAGCAGCCTCGTGCTGGCGTCCCGCCTCATCCACCTCGAGTGGGGCTACGACGCCGCCGGTGTCCGCTCGATGGCCGACGTCCAGCTCAAGGAGATGCGGTGCCTCGTCGCACCACTCGACGTCGACATTGGAGCCGGCATTCTCTGGTACAAGGAGGCCGCGTCGTCGCTGCTACGGCCCATTTTAGCCGAGTGCGCGCTCCATGTCCAGTACGCCATGACGCTGCACAACCAGGCGACGCGCATCCGCGTGACTCTGCCATCGATCGAGCTCACGGTGGACTCGCACCAGTTTTTCCAGTGCTTTAGCGTCGTCAAACACGTGCTTCTCGCGCCGCCGTCGACCAAGAAGACAGTCTCGTCCGATGCGTCGCCTCGCGCTGCACAAAAAGGCGGCAAGCGTCGCCAGCAAGCGATCGCCGACGAGCTCCGTCGTCGGGACCTCCGCTCGCCAAGTGCGTACACTGCCATGGTCTTCCTTTCTTATTTTTTATGGTCTTAGGTCCGAGCACCGCACTCAAAAGCGTTGCTTTTGAGATTGGACTTGCGCAGTGCCGGCTTCGGACGAGCCCGGAAGATGGCAACATTGAGTTTGTGGCGCTTGCGCTCCATACCGCCCGAGGCAGCCATGTGTTTTACGACTCGCTCTCGACGAAATTCAATTTGAGTCTCCAATGGCTCGAGATTCAAAACCTTCGGCCCGGCGCGTCGTCCATGGCGTTTGACGATCCCATGGCCGTCCTCACACCGCGTCTCGCAACGCCCCAAGGTCGTCCACACGTCGATCATCGCCCGGGTTTTAAGTTTTCTGTAGACGTGCAGCCGCTGCTGTCGCTGCGGGCTGAGAGCCTCCCGCTGCTGGCCAAGGAATTCCCGCCACTCCGCGTCTTCGAGGTGCTTGAAGTGAGTTTCTTCCCCGGCGTCGCGTACGACTTTGCGATTCAGCTCGCGGTGGACTTTTACGAGCTCATGTTTACCTTCTTTTTTGGCGCGGCGTCCAATCGCACCGAGTCGTTTGGCAAGAAGAGCACAGGCAGTCGCCCGCCGGCGCCCGTGACATCGTCGCTGCATCCAGACAACGACGACGACGCCGATGGGGACGACGTCGACGTCGAGAACGAAGAAGTCGTCTTCTTCAACTACGTGCGCGTCGGCAACATCTGCCTCCATCTCGCGTGCTCGGGCTTTGTCGTCAACCTCTCGGGCTTTGGGTTGGACCTGCCCCCGTTCGTGTGCCGGTCCAAGCTGTGTACGTGGAAGCGCTTACTGCGCAAATTTGAAGTGCACTTGGCGTGGTGCGTCTCAAAGGAGAGCGCGTCGTCGGGCCTCCACCATGTCAAGAAGAAACTGTTTGCGCTCACGAAGAAGACCGACAAGACGACGACAACGACCAAGGACGACGAGACCACCCGCAAGATGCTCTTTGGACCCTACCACCCAAACACGCGCCACGACGCGACCGAGTCGTAAGAAGCAGTAGTGTATGCGGCACCAAGTAAGCAAGTGGGAAAGCTCATGGGTTGCGTATACTACTTGTGCAGAAACGCCGACTTGTCCAACTGGGCAAACATCTACCGAGAGCATCATGATAGGTCATACGACACGAAGACTATCAACTCGATACCTCGTCGGTCGCGAATGCGAGCTCGAGCACGGGGAGGGAGCCCGAGAGCACCTTTTGACGGCACACCTTGTGCGTCTCGAGACCAAAGACGACGGTCCGCGCTTGCGACTTGTACTCTTCGGTCGTGTCGCTGAACCGATCGTAGAGCGCTAACTACCTCGAATATACGATGAGACATGCTGTAGCTTCGAGCCGGTCATTACCTCGATCTCTGTACACAGCAACGGCTTTGGCAGCACGCGCTGCAAGAGCTGGCGCACAACTTGGCGGTGCGGGCACTCGGGCTTGGCCGGCGTCGGCGGTGTCATCTCGGCAGGCGTCTCGACGGCCTCCAATGACGCGTCCAGAGGCGTGCTCTCGCGAGGCGCTTCCTCGGTCGCCTCTGTCGGTGGCGGCGTGCCGTCGGCGGGCGAGTTGCCCGCAGTGGGCTCAACGGCCGGTTCAGCCTCGGGCGACGACGACTTGGCTTTTTCCTTCTTTGGCACACCAGCCTATCGGAAGATGAGAGGCGAGCGACGGAGACGAGCTGACGTACGCGCTGCATCAGGAGCTTGCGAAGGGCGCTGGCCGTCTTGGCCACGTTTGGGTTGACGCTGGCTCGAAGCGCGTTGACGGCCGCGGGCAGCTGCGAGCCGCGCAGGACGTCCAGCGTCATGGGCTTCTCGGACGCGATGAGCGAGTTCATGATGGCAAGCGCTGTTGTATTGGCGTCTGCCGAGTCTTCGCGCGCGCAGCGCTGGAGCTTTTTTGCACAGCGTTTCGCTTCTTCCAACTCGTCGTCGATCGGCTTGTCGTCCCCAGCTTTGGCCTTCTCCTTGGCTGCTGCTGCCTTCTTGGACGCCGGCTTGTCCTTGGCCGCTGGCTTGTCCTTGGCCGCTGGCTTGTCCTTGGCGGCTGGCTTGTCTTTGGCCGCTGGCTTGTCTTTGGTGGCAGCGGGCTCGGCGGCTTTAGCCTTCTTCTTCTCAGCAGCGACCGCAGCTTTTTCCGCCTTCTTCAGCATGCGCTCGACGTCCTTGCTCAGCTTGTCTTCCTTGCGCATGAGTGGCAGCTCGACGGCGGCAATGGCGTCCTTGGTCGCCCGCGCGCGCTTGGCCTTGGGCCCGTCCGACTCGGTCACGTCCACCGCCAGTGCGGCCTCCTTCACATTGGCAGCCGACGTTTTCGGCTTCTTGTTGGCCGGTTTCTTGGGGCTAACGTCCGAGTCCGTCGTCGTCCGAGGTCGCTTGGCCTTGGACGCTTTGGCCGGCGGCTTGTTCTAGCTCACGACACGATGAGGAGGTTCTGTCGCAAACATGATTGGTACCAGGTTTTCCTTGATCCACTTGATGCGGTCTTCAACCGGCAAGACGACTTCGGCCTACATGCATATATGGCATGAGGTATTCGCCGCAAAGACAGTCGCGTACGTCGCCCAGCGCCACGGCCTCCACGAGGTTCTTGACGCGCTTGACGGTCTTCTTGGGCGGGTACCCGCGAGGATCGCGGTAGTCGTTGGTCGTGTCGTCCCAGGGCACAATGTCCGCGTACGAAATCGCCGTGCTAGATATATGGCATAGGAAACATCGAGAGGTTTGCTGCAAGTAGTACCTGTTGTGGGCCTCGTAAAAGTAGACCCAGTAGCTCGTCTCGATGCGAGGCAGGAATCGCTTCATCGAGTCGGCGTCCAGAATCGAGGGGTCGCAAATATGACCCGGCCAGTACGGAAAGCCCCGCATGCGCGCCCAGACAACTTCGCCGTACCGCTTTTTGACGTCGTCGCTTAGCAGCTTGCTCTTCTCGGCAAAGAGCGCAAACACGTCCTCTTCGTCGTCGTCGTCGTCGGTCGAGGACTCGGGCTCTGGGTTCTTGCGCGGGCGGCCACGGCGCGCCGCCTTCCTCTTGGCCGGCGCCGCCTGTATCTTGGGCGACGCTTCGGTTGCCGGCAGCTCCGCGTCGGCGGCGACTGCCACGTCCACGGCTGGCATGGGATCTTCGGTTGCCTGTTGGGTTGCCATGGAAATTCGAGAATCCACGGCTGTGATTGGTGGTAATTGTGTGAATTGTTGACCTGCCAGACTGAGCACGACACGTTAGCGCTCCTCCGCCCGTTCGCCGCGTCGACGAACGACGACGTTGTCGAGGTGCACGTGCCCGCGGGCCCGCTTGCGATCGTCATGGACCGGACCAACGACACGGAAGCCGTGATCGAGTCGTTTGCCAAGCTACCGTCGGGCCTCGCCGGCGCCATCGAGATGCACGGCGGCATTCCACCAGGCTCCGTCCTCGTCGCGATCAACCAAAAGGACGTCTCGGGCCTCAACATGAAGCAAGTCAGCGACATCTTGCGCGAACAGAAGGACAAGCCCAAGGTCCTTGGCTGGCGCATCCACAAGGTGCGCTTCGTCCGATGGCCTTCTTTCTCATCTTGGATCCTACTAGCCGCTCTCGCCGCTCAAGACCGACGCCGCGCCGCCGACGCCATTCTCGGTCATGGCGCCACCGCTCGCCGACCGGCGTGCTTCGAATGGCACGGAGTTTGTCACGGAGAACATTGTCGTGCTCTGCCCATCCGGGCCGCTCGGCCTCCTCCTCGACGGTCAAGTCAAGCACCGCGCGGTCGTCCAAGGCTTTCAAACGCTACCGGACGGCTCGCCGGGCGTGCTCGAGCTCCACGACAGCATCCACCCTGGTGCAAGCCTCGTCGCCATCAACGGCGAAGACGTGAGCGCGTGGCCCCTCGACGCCGTCACGCAGCGCCTCGGCGAGCTCGCCTCGACCGAGCGCATCCTCGAATTCGCCCTGCCACGCCGCCGTGCCAACTCGCAGGACTTTGACTTGCGCCGAAAGGAAGAGTTTACGTTTTTAAAAAAGCACGACAAGACCAAGATCGCGCGTGGCGAGTGCTGGCTCGTGATTGACGCCAAGTGGATCGAGCGCTGGGTTCTCTACGCGGCCATGAGCGGGCCGCCGCCGGGTCCGATCACAAACGAGGCACTGGTCATGGACGGGTGGCAGGAACGCCTCACGGGCGCGATCGCTGGCGACGCGGACCTCCCGCGCCCCAACCTCAAGGTCGGCGTCGACTACCGCTGCGTCACGCCGCTGGTGTGGTGCTTCTTTGTCGCGCTGCACGGCACGAGCAAGCTCCGCCCCTCGCTCGCTACAAGATGGACATTTACGCGAGCCCGATCTCGGCACTCGAGGCCAACAAAATCCTCAAGCCCATGTCGCTCAAGGCCGAGACCACGGTCACCGAGATCAAGACGCGGTGCCACATCGAGTAGACACGCCATCGCACGCTGTCATGGCTTTGTATGTTAACGCGAATATCTGTGTCTGCCCCATGGTCTGCAGCGCTTGCCAGCGCCACGCGGTCCAGCCGCACACGCCGTCGCAATGGCCGCAGCGAACGGTCACGTCGTCGGTCTCGAGCGCTGCGATATGCGCCGAAATGTGCGCGCTGCGGTGTGTGTGGGCGAGGACGATCGACGTGTGGCCGAGCTGCACCAGCGCGCATATCGAGGATAGCAAGCGCGGGTGGGCCTCCCAGCAGTAGAGAACGTCGGCGAGCACGACAAGATCACAAGCTTTCGGTAGCATGGCGCGGATGGCCTGCAGCGGACAGTCGTCGCCCCAGTCGAGCGCCAGTGCATGGACTTGTGCGGTGACCACCGATGCATTGCGACAAAGGGTCTCTTTGAGGTGGGGCAGCGAGGACGTGCGCTCGGTGAGGACGACTGTCGACGTTGCCGGAAGCCACTTGGCGAGTGCGAGGCCAAGGAGCCCGGAACCAGCACCGAGTTCGAGCACGGTCGTTGGCGGCGGCGTCGAGGATAGCCACGTCTGCAGATGCGACGCGAGGCACAGACCTGCGTCCCACTGATGCGCCGCCATCGCGTCACCGTAAGTCTCGTGAAGGACGAGGTTGGCATCGTAGACGCGAAGCGCAATGGGTATGGCGCCGGCAATGAACTTGTCGCCTCTTGAGATGCACGTCGAGCACAGCGGCAGCACGAGGACCGTCGGCGTCACGGCGCTCGCGCTGGTCAAGGCCTGCAGACCTGTGTACATTGGCGCACACGCATCGACCACCGAGACGGCGCGCGCATGGATGCGAAATGCGGCGTCGGACGACGGCAGTGTCAGGCGCACCACGCCGTGGCTTTGGGCGGCGGTCATGTCGAGGCGCATGGGCGGCGCGTCGCCGGCCGACACGACGAGCGACCACCCAGTGGTATGCGCTGCCTTGGTGGCCGTCGCCAGCGAGACGCCTTGGCCATGCTCGTCGACAACTTCGACGTGAATGGACACCAGCGTATCGCTACTTGGCACGGCGACCGGCGGCGCAAACCGGAACCGGAGCCGACAGAGCATGGTCCGTCGGTGGCCCGAGTTTTACGCGTTTCAACATGGTATCCGTGGGGTTTAACGCAACGACGAGGTTAAACCGTATCGCCGTGGCACCGAATTCCCGCAAAGGGTCGAGACGTGCTCTTCGCTTCAGGACCGTTCGGGCAACTTTGGATCATTAAGACTTGGAATGCTGACGCGGTGCCAGGTCATGACACGCAATTCTTATTGCCACCGTGCGGACGACGTGCCTTAAACGCGCATCATCGCCTCGCTGGAACGAAGTCCGGAGCTTTGCTGCAGCATCGTGGCCGGTGCCATAGCAGACAAGCGACTTTCAGAAGCCGTCGGAGCAAGCACGCTTCTTCAGGAGTTTACTGGTGGCGTCGGAATGAGGCGGAGGCCGTCGTCGAGCGCTGTGGCTGGAGGCTCGATCTATCTATCTATCTATCTATCTATCTATCTATCAAGTTGTCACCGAGCTCAGCCACTGGCACGATCAGAGTGTTAAGAAGTTACGCTGGCCCACTCGACAAAGAGGTTCGTGCCGCACTCCAACTCGACGTGCGTCACGTGCAAGTACGAAAGCATCTCGTCGAGCGCCGCGTGGAGGTCGTCCTTGGTCATCGCCCGCGCATCCCACTCGGATCCTCGCGCGATCGACGTGCTCAACCGCGTCAACGGCACGGCAAACGACGTCGAGAGCGACGACGACGGCTGGTACACGTCCACGCGGAGGGGTGTCTCGGGCGTCGAGCTCTGCGTGTCGTAGACGCCGAGAAGCAAGCGCTGCCCTCCGACCGTTCGAATCGCTTTGAACAAGCACGGCGCTTTGCGCGACTTGTCTGCGCCACCCTCGTCTACACTTTCCATTGGCTTCCGAATCCACGAAGCGGGAGACATACCGCTTGAGCGGCGAAGCGGCGCGATCACTTCCTTGACATACAGCCGGTAGATCTTGTCGCCATGCACTTCGACGTCCAAGAGGTTGACAACGTGCGCGGCCAAGCTCTGCGCCTGCTCTTCGCGCCATAGATGCACCTACAGTCAGTCCTTGCATTACGCAAGACCACGAAGTCGAGTGTGCGTACGTCGGGGCCAATGGCCTCGCGCAGCGCCGCGCCGTTGATCCACATGGAGAGCTGCTGGCTGCTGGCTGCAACGTACCCGTCGACGCGCAGGGCCAGGCCCGACTCTCGCGTCGCATTGGCCGGCGTCACGTCAAAGACGGTGCAAATGACCGCGTGCTGGCGCAGGTGCTTGACTTGCGAGAGGAGTTTCATGCCTCGGGCGTCGGCTACATGAGCGCAGTGTGGGCATCAAAGGGTGCTGCGGCGTCGCCCGTACCGTCCTTAATGAGGTGGCCGTCTTGGGCAAATGCATCGGCGTCCATCGCAGCGTTCACGGGGGTTGCCTTGTGATGCGTAAACATGCGCGACCGGACAAACTCGACGCGCAGGGCGTCAGGAGAGAGCGTGCGGTCGAGGCGGTGCATGACGATATGTCGCATCAGCTCGGGCAGCGTCGCCGAGCCAACGAGCTCCTGGGCGTCCGGCCCGACGACCTACACACCGCATTTGCTTGCGCTTTCTCCAACAGCCGACACGACAGACCTCGCGCAGGTCGTGGAGACCATCAATGTGCGCCTCACAGTTCGTGCTTGAGTCGGGGTGGTAAAACGAAAGGGCCATGTCAAACCAGTCGGCGTCGCGAAGGATATCGGGCAGCCCTACGCCATGCTTCGAGCACTGGCTTCTTACAAAGGAAGGAGGATGTACCCGGTTTGTTGGGCTCACGCACTGGCTTGAGATACGCCGTCATGGTGACATCGACCCGCAAGAGCGTGCCATTGCACCGGTGCGAGCTCGCGTGCACGTGGACCGGCGCATCGTACACCAGCACCAGTGGGCGCTTGGCGCGTCGAGCATTCGCAGCGTGTTTTGTAGCAGGTCGACGTCGATCGGTGCGGCGTCGACCGGGCGCGTGTCGACGACTGGCGCCGACGTCGTTGCCGCCGACTGTACCGCACTTGGCGCGGGCCGAATCTGCGCCGCGTACTCGACAAAGCCCGACGGCGACGTGAGCCGCACGACGCGCTCGTCCGTGTCGTACGCACAGAGCCCGAGAAGCGCGTAGACGACGCGTCGGCGGTCCTTCGCCGTGGCACTTGGCCATGGTAGCGAGATCGCCGACTGGATTTGCGCATCGGCGAGACGCAGTTCGTGCGTCGTACTTGTGGTGGGAAAGTAGATGTGGAGCGAGAGGCCGTACGCGGAAGTCATTGCGCAGAGCTTGGCGGTCACAATGACCTTGATGCCGGGCTTGCGCGCCAGCTGAAAGATAAGGAGGGGTTGAGACGTAAGCAACCCCACAGAACGCAGCGTACCTTGGAATGGTCGGGGTGCAATGGCAGGTAAAAGCCCGTGGTCGTCATGTCCAGATCCAGTGCCAATGCGTCGTCGGTCGACATGACCAAATGCGACAGGATGTGTTGCAGCCAGAGCGGGGAGAGAGCGCGAGTCGACACCACGCGTCGCGACGACAGCAGCAGTTCGTGGCGCTCACGCGACGAGACGAGCACGGACCGTTTGGTGCATGTGTCGGGGCGGTAGGCTTCAATCCGCAGCGTCTCGGTCATGGAAATGTCAAACACAGAGACCACCCAGCGCAGCTAGGCACACTCAAATGAGACCGATATGGATGTGTGTTGCCCTCGAACTACCGCTTGAGGACGCAGCTGCATCGTGGTGCGAAGGAGGAGGCGCCCAGAGCCGCCGTGCTTGCGGATACGCACGCGCAAGTCATGCGGCGTTGCGATCATGTTGCGAGGAACACGGTGGCTGATGTGGTGTAGCACGGGCTTGGAGAGCTCGGACACTTCAATGTGAACGCGGTCGAGAACATACTGGTACATCGCCTGGGCACCATGATGATGGCTCGATCCCACAACCTCATGAGGAAGAGACCGTCTACCTGGACGTTCATGTCTTGGTAGGCCTGCAGCTCGAGTGGGTCGGACGCGTCGAGCTTGAGCTGCTGCAAGCAAGCGTCATCGACGTCTAGTGTCCACGCGAGTCGCCCGGCACTCCAAGCATCATGGACAAAGACATCTAAGCGAACGTGGCCGAGCGCAACCTCCGAAACGACAATCTAAACAGCGGCGCGTTTGAACCAACGCCGTCGACATGGAGGTTGTAGCACCGAGGCAAAGTGGCCGTGGATGTGCCGGCCGACTTTCTTCAACCGCACCGCGTGGGGCCGGAGCTCGACGATCGGCTGCATGTTGATGCCCTTGGGCTTGGCGAGCGTGGTAAAGCCCACAACGCGCTGGTAGAGTTCCAGTGGTGTCGACGGCGCTTGTTTGTTTTGAGCCGCTTCAAACGAGTTGGGCGCCAAGAGCGTATTCATCTACGCATCATCGTATCTCGTACATGGACGCGAGACGTACAAAGGTCTCTGGTATCTCGGTGCGGAGCAGATGGGACGTGAGCGGGTCGTACACGGTCACGTAAACGCGATGGCAGTCGCGGTACAGCGACACCACGTGGTACCTAGCAAGCATTTTGTCGTCGCAAAGATGAGACTACACTCCGTGTACCGGTCGCCAATCTTGACCGACTGCCGGTGCACGCGCACGTCTTGCAGAATCGCACTCGTGATCTGCGCCATCGCGTCCTTGTGCGACCAGTCGTCTACGTATAGTCGTCCCGTATCGTTCTCTTGCCGTCGAGTCGATGAGGACGCACGCACCTTCGTCCACCGGGTCGGTGATCGTGATGACGTTGCTAAAGAGGCCAGGAATCGGCTTGGTGCGCGTCACAACGTCGGCCGCGCCGCCACGGCTCTGGATCGCCAGCGCATAGAGTGTCACTGCGCGGACAAAGAGCGCGAGGCGGAAGAGGAGCGTGCCCGTCGAGTCGTTGTGGACGGGCCACTCGGCCAAGTCGAGGTACCTACGCAGTACAAATGCGACGTTGAACGCGATGGAGATGCGTACTCGCGCAGCACGGCGACGTTTTCGTATGGAATGTCTTCGACGTCGAGCGCTTCCAGCATCGCGGTAAAGGTCGCTGGCGCACTCAAGAGCCGCCGGCTCAAGCGCCTGTTGAAACGTCGTGATTCGGATCGAATCGCACCATGCAGCGTACCACGTGACGGTCGACGTCGTGTTGGCGGGCGAGACAAAGCGCTGCGACGGCGTGAGCAAGATGAGCGTCGCTTCCATCACGAGCACGATCGCGACGGGCGGACGATCCATCAAGCTCACCGCGACCATTTCGTGGTCCAAACGGCCGCTCGTGAGCGCATACAGTCCATCGGCCGCCAGCTGCCATCATGCGCATGAGCGACCGCGATAGCAAGTATATGTGCGTACTTGGATTTGGTGCTTCGCGTCGCCGTCGACCATGGCGGCGGCGTCTTGCTCGGAGATACCGTACGTACCCGGGGTATGGCCCAAGCCCGCGCGGTTCGAAAGCGAGCCTTTCAGCAAGATCGAGAGCGGCGTCGGGCGCAGTGCCCGCAACACGATGGCAAACTGGCCCAAGAAGGTGCGCTGCTGCCCGATGCTGAGCCCAATGTCCGCGTCCAAGAGAACGCTAGCGCGGATGTGAGCACGTTCTTGCTACGGTATGAAGACGGCAGTACCTGTAGCCAGCATCGAACGCAGGCTGCATCGTCGCCAGCTGGATCGGGTCGTGGCTGTTGATGCGAAGAAAGAGACCTGGAAACGCGGCCATGGTTTGCGCGACTAGAATCTCTTTGGCGTGGCCGGGCAGCTCGCGCGAGAGCACAAGCAAGATCGGTCGCGTGCGCTTGGGGCAGTCTTGAATGAGGCCCAGTGGCACAAACTGGCGTTCGCTGTGGTAGTCTTCCAGCGCGCACTACACACCTGCTTTCCAGTGCGCTCGAAACAAACACACAAATGTATACCTTGGCATCTTCGGCGCGGTCGTCGGCTTTGTACTGCAGTAGATCCAGCGTGCAGACAGGCGTCGCGGTCAAGAACGTGCTCTGGACACGCTGAACGACATCGAGGTGCGTGATCCATTCCAAGAGCAACGTCGACGGCCGCTCCAACTCGCCTACGTTCCAAGAGTCGGCGTCGTCGTCGTTGTCGTCGCACGTGCATCGACGGTACCTAATGCCGCCGACGCCAAGTGCTCGGTGCAAAAGTTGACGTCGTTCTTGTGAGCTTCCAGCAGCGTGCGCGTTTCCGGCAGAAGCGCAATTGTGCGTCGCGCGGCGGCTGCCTAAACACACACTACGATCGGAGCGCTATGAAACGAGTGCGTACCGAGATGGTCGTGAGGTAGCGAAGAAGGCGCGCCGCGCGGCGAAGGTACTGCCCGGCTTCCATCCAGCGCATCTCATGGACGGGCGTCGACATGGCATCCCGGTCTTCCACGGTCATGCACGAAAGACAGATCGACTGGACCAAGCGCACGACGCCCAGTAGCATGTACGTCGGCTTGATCGTGTACGGCGACGTGGGAAACTTGGCGTATGCGCAGAGCGCGGCGCCCATGGCCACAAGCTCAAACTCAAAAAGGCGGTGCGCAATTTCCACCATGCGCCGCTTTGAGTCGCAGAGGGCGCGGTACGCACGCATGCGATCCCGGCCACGTTTGCCGCGAACTGTTTTTGAATCTTGATCGCTGCCTTGTGCTGCTGCTGGTGCAAGCGCTCGAGGCGCGTGGCGTTCCGAGCGAGGCGGCCGCGCGCCGCGCACTGGATACGAATCGCTGACTTGTGCCGCACATAGAGCTAGCACCGATCGTGTGCCTGAGTGAACGCTCGCGAAGAAGAAAGGTACCCGATGCACACGGCGCCGTGCGAGGAAGCCGCGGACAGCCGCTTGGATGTACGTGCTCGCAATCGTAAATCGAATGCGCACCGTCTTGTACATTTGCCGCGTGAGGATGCCTCGGATAATGCGCTGGATGTGCGTCGCGGACGCCACTTCGACGAGCTTGGTGCGCTCGAGCGCTAAGAGCGCTTCGTCCATGTGGCGACGGCGAAGGAGCTCGGCTTGGCGCTGGCGACGTGGGATAAGCAACGCCGTCGATGCATATGGTCGAGTCCTACCTGTGTCTCAGCCGCCGATTTTTGCGCCAACTTGAACGTTTCCATAGCTTGCTGCTTGCGCGTGATCTCGGTCGCCTTGCGCGCAAAGAGGTCGACTTGGGCTTGCAAGTCGCGTCGGAGCATCTCGAGTGTTGGGGTTGGCAGCGACGTCGACGACGCCGCCAGCGCCAGCGCCGCTTCTTCGGTTGCAATCGTGTCCCGGAGATGGGCAATGTGCTGCCTGAGGCATGGGAAACGATCCAATTGTTGCCAAAACGTGAGCAGCTGACAACGTACTCGAGCTGGGCGTTGGCCACGCGTGCTTGCTCGAGGTCCTGCTCCATCCGAGCGCCGCGCGACCGCTGCATCGGGTACCGAATACGGTTCTCCATGGCTAAGCGTGTTGAGTGACCGAGCTTTTGTCAAGAAGGCGGGGTATACCGAGCTTTGTGGTTGGTGCGAGCGTGCCAGCTTGCTTGAGCTTGGTCGTGTCGACCACTTGCGCGCTTGAGGGAACTGTCGCGGACTTGCGCAGCTACGCAATCCCTTGATTGACATGTAAGAAAGGCGGGGGGTACTTCGGTGGGACGTGGTTGCCGCGGTGCGTCCACTGTCGGCTCGTGCACCTCGATGGTAGAGGTGTCTTGCAGCTCCCGGGTCGATGCTGCGTGCGCGCGTTGGATGGCGACGGTCTTTACTTGCTGCTTGGCGATTGCCTCTGCGTACGCGATGTCAAGTCCAAAAGATCATGCTGTAGCGACGCGTACCGGGCACGATGCGTCCGTAAAGGTCCCGTGCATACCGGCCGCAGAGCTCTTCCTCGGCCAAGACGATTTTTTCTGCTTCGCGGATGCGCAAGACGTCGAGGTTGCCAATCTGGCTCGGCAACACGTATGTGGCCCGCGACCGCACGGACGGAGTGCTACTCGCATTGGCGTCGGCGCTCGTGAGCTGTCGCGGCACGAGCTCTTCGTCGTTGATGACGCGCGTCTCGTACGCCGACCGGAGCTTGGGTGGGCGAGCGGCGACGGCTTGGGATGATCGCAACGGGCGTAGTGGGGAGACCGGGATGCCGCCGACTTCGAGAAAGGTGTCGACGGCAGGTATCGTCGGTGGCGGGGTAAACGGCCTGGTGTCATCGCCGCGCTTGTCGAGGTTGTCGGGCATAATGAACGGGTTGCGCTCCATCGAGAAGCCGAGCCAGCGCACCATGACGTCGCACTACTATTGTCGCACGAGCAATCTTCGGTAGCATAGTGTACCTGCTGGAGGAAATTGAGATCCGTCGGTAGTTTGAGAAGGTAGTTGATCCCATTCCACTTGAACGGGACATGTTTTTGCTGCTGCTTGCGCCACTGCACAATCGCCTCGACGACCTCGACCGTCGTGATGCGAAGCAGGTCGAGGGTGTTGGCCATGGCGCCGATGAGCGCATGCGGCGCGTCGCTCTGACTCATCTCGAGAAGCCGCGCCACATAGTCTTCGCGCAAAATGATCGCCTTGAGAATCTCGAGCTCCTAATACATGGACGTCGTTGCGCGTCGCGGGTGCAAGGAAGCGAGTACCATGCCGCCGTTGCCACCCGGCATGTCAGCCTCGAACGTGATGCTACCCATGTGGGCAGGCACCTTGGCCGCGACGTCGACCTTGCGCTTCTACGCCACGTCAGCCACTGCAGTACATGTACGTGCGTCGACCTCGCCCATGGGCATGACGGCTGCAGGCGACTCGGTGCGCGGCCGTACATGCTTGCGGGGCTTTGGCCTACGTAGCATGCTGCATCGCGTCGGGCTCGCGACAAGGGCGGGCGTACGATGGAAGCGTCGTCGCGTCCTTGGGCGGCCGGGTCTTGGGCTTGTCCTTCTCGAGCTGGTTGGGCGGCTTGGGGTCCGTCCCGCGTGGCATGGACCTCGCGTCGATGGCCCGAGCGTTACGGCAGAAACTGCCAGAGTTTGCCCTTTATACGAATACGTCCCGCGCTCGGATTGGCCGCATCGGGTGCATGGCTTTGGATTGGCTAAAACACCGACGCCACTTTAAGCCAGTACCGGTACCTCCACCGCAGCCGCGCCGTTGCATCGTTGAGAGTGAACCGAGGTCGTACTCGATGGGAGCATGGTTGCACGAGAGAACGCAGCAATCAGAGAGCTCATGGCATCGTCAGCGCCGGTCGGCGGATGACTTGGCGAGTAGCCTCTTGGATTTATGCGTTGACGCCTGACTACTTACTTGGCTCGACAGGCGTAGTACGCTTCAAGAAAACCAACGGCGACGCAAGCACGAGGACATTTTGACATTGGTCTTCCACGTGATCAAGCCATTATGGATCTAGGAGGCACTTGCATTTACAATCTGACCATGTTCCAATACAACCGCCGTAGTATCGACAGCAGACCTACCGTAGAGCTCGACCGTAGTGCTTCAACGGCTACTAATATATCACCTTGATGGACGTTTGGCGTTGTCCATGGCACGGGACGTGGCTTCTGTTGCCTGGACTGTGCTACAGAACCTCTTCGCTGGGCCCTTTTCCTGCGTACTGAAGTGCATACTGTGATGGTACTCTAGTCAACTGGTCGCTTATAGCATGGATCAATAAACTGTTTATTGACCCGTGCTCCCAGTACGCTCCACAGGAGGCCGCAGCGCCGGCTACAAACCAACGACACAACCCGTCGGCAGCCTCCATACCTTGCGTTTTGTATACCATAGTTATCTCGGTAGCATTTCGATGTGCAAACTCATTACAATACATGGTATCTCGTTACATGGTACTTTAGTATGCAACATAAATTATTTGCAATAAAATAGATAGGGATGGCTTGACTAGCAGTTGCAATTTGGACCGCTGAAAGAGAAAGTACGGCAACGGCAACAACGACGACGACGACACTCATTTACCACGATGCAGTAGGCGCGATGAAGGCGATGGCGGGCAAGGCAGCGCTCGCGGACGTCAAGCTCCACGTGCTCAACGGCAGCCTCGACCCGTTCGAGCAAAAGTACGGCTACAACTACGACTACGTGTTTGTCTTCAAGGTCCACGACGAGACGCACAAGCTCACGGAGATCCAGACGACGTACTCGATGCGCCTGATCCTCCAGCGGCTCGCAGGCGCCGGCCTCGAGACGCGCATGTTTTACTCGACAACGCGCGACCTCGTTTTCTGCAAGGTGCGATCGCATTCAAAGCGTGGCCATAGCTCCCACACCATTAGATCCGCGCGTCGTACGAGCGCCTCTGCAAGGAGGCCGACCGCATCGACCTCAAGCTCGAGTTTGATCCGCTCGAGCTCAAGGCCGTCGCGGAGGCCGGGTACCCGGACAAGGGCGTTGCGCCGATCCACATTAGCGAAGAGCACGCACACACGGACCGCAGTCCGTTCCAAAACATCTTTGGCAAAGTATGCGTCCTTTTTCTTGTGGACACGATCGCTCAATATATGGACGTGTTGTCTAGTACGACATGGACGATCGGCTCCAGCGCGTGTACAAAAAATACGGACCCGCCGGGAAGCAGATCCCGTTCCGCGGCGTCGACCGCATCAAGCTCATCAATTCGATCATTGCGGCGCACCTCTACGACGGCGGATGCGCGCTCAACACCAAGATGCTCGAGATGAAGGAGTGCCTCGTCACGAGCTTCCCGCTCCACGACTTTGACGAGCGCGACAAGCTCAACGCCAAGTGGATCCGCTGGTACTACTCTCTATTGTCCAGAACCGAACCGCCAACACAACGACGTTTCTAGGTCGAGTGCGCCGTGGAACCAGCCGTACAGCGACATCAAGGACTACTACGGTGAAAAAGTCGGCCTCTACTTCGTCTGGCTCGGTACAAGCCATTTTGCTTACTTGAAACATTGATACTCAACATCCGGACAACTAGGCCATTACACGACGTGGCTCATTGCGCCGTCGATCGTCGGTGCCGTCATGCTGGCCGACATCATCATGGAAGGCACGGTCGACGCGCGCCTGCTTGGCGTCTTTGGCCTCTTCATGGCGCTCTGGGGCACGTACGTTCTATTTGATTCTATGATCTTATTTGGTCTTATTTTCGTCTATGCAATAGGTTCTACCTCGAGTACTGGAAGCGCCGGAACGCAGTCATTCGTCTCGAGTGGGGCATGGATGGGTTCGAAGAAGAGGAGAAGGACCGCGCCGAATTCGAAGGCGAAGAGATCGAGTCGCCGATCGACGGCAGCAAGATGCGCTACTTTAGCCCCGAAGTGCGCACGAAGCGCGTGCTCGCGTCATTGCTGTTGATTTTCGCGCTCATTTTGCTTGTGATCGGCGCTGTCGCGTCCATTTTTGTGTTTCGGATCTTTGCCGAGCGCGGCCGTCCGCTATATGAGTACACGACGCTCCGAATGAACGGCAAGGACGTGCCGCTTGCGTCCCCGATTGCATCGACGCTCAACGCTAGTACGTTTTCTTTTTCTGTTTTTTGCACATTTTCCATTTGACAGGCGCTAACACCTTTTCTAGTTCAGATTCAGGTCATGAACGGCATCTACACGACGATCGCGGTGCGCCTCAACAACTATGGTACCTATTCATTGAGATCGGACGTTGAAATCTGAATCTGAATCTAGAAAACCACCGCACCGACACCGAGTACGAAGACAACTTGATCGCCAAGACGTTCCTCTTTCAGTTTGTCAACTCGTACGCGAGTCTGTTTTACATCGCCTTTATCAAGAGCGCCGTCGACGAGTGCACGGACCCCAAGGCGGGCGGCTGCATCTACGACCTCATGGTCGCGCTTGGCATCATTTTCTGCCTTCGTCTCACGTACACTTATCTCGCTCCACGTGCAATCGTCTCAAACCATCACTGACGCCTAGGTCGGGCAACTTTTTCGAAGCCGTGCTGCCGTACCTCAAGCGCCGGCTGCGTGGCAAGTGCTCCAAGCCGGCGACGCCCGACGACGGCGAGACGCGCGCCATGTCGATCGTCGAAGAGCAAATGACTCTTGGCGTCTACGACGACATGGGTGTCTTTGGCGACTACAACGAGATGATCATCCAATATGGGTGCGTTTTCCGAATTGTCTATGGATCGCATGACACTATTGTATGTGTTACTAGGTACATTACGCTCTTTGTGATTTCGTTTCCGCTCGCGCCGTTCCTCGCGCTGCTCAACAACTACTTTGAGATTCGGATTGACGCGTTCAAGCTCGCCAAAGAGTCGCGCCGCCCTGATCCCAAGGGTGCCGAAGACATTGGCACGTGGATGACGATCCTCGAAATCATGAGCACGATCGCCGTCGTCACCAACGTGGCGGCCGTGGTCTTTACGTCCAATACGACGTTCAGCGGCGTCTCGGGGGACATCAAGATGCTCGCGTTTGTGGGCCTCGAGCACGGCGTATTGCTCGTCAAGTTCTTTCTCGCCCTTCTTGTCGAGGACGTGCCCGAAGACGTCCAGTTGCAGCTCGATCGCTCCAAGTACACGGCCTTGGATTCTGTTTTGAGAGGTAGATAAACTGATACGTCATGGTACTAGGTTCCTCGTCAGCAAGATTGTCTACCAGATCCAAGACGACGACGACGACGACCTTGTCAAGGGCAACAAGATCAAGGTCGACTTGACCGTCTACGACGACGACGAGTAAGCGCTTCTCGTGCACTACCCTAAGCCCTCGTTCACGCCGTGGGTGTTAAATACATTCCATTTTGCAGCGTGCGCCGATTTTCTCTTCTTGTTGTGTTCTACTAATTGCCTCTTTGAAGATGGCAACCGAGGGACTCGTGGGTGTTGGGGTGGACGATGCAGGTCGTTGCCCTGCATCGTCTATATTTTCTGGGAACACAGTGCTTGCTCTACTGGTGGTAGAAAAATCCCACGCTGCCATGGGCGCATCAAGGGACATCTATATATTAGGAAGATAGGAGGTTCGGAGGCAGAATTATGTCCTTGTGCGCGTGAACCCTATTGAGGCGCTCGGTGCGTCGTGGCCAGCGCCATGTTTTGTTCGGATCGAACAATTCGAGATCGATCTTTTCGGATCGGTGGAACGCCCGCATCTTGATTTTTCCCATGGCCGTCGAGCTCGTCGAGAACCCCAAGGCCGCCATGACGGCGCCGGACGCCAAGACGCTGCACGTGTCGAGCGACCCGTTTGAGCAAAAGCACGGCTACAGCTACGACTATGTCTACGTCTTCAAGGTCCACGACCAGGACGCGACCTTATCGGCGGCCCAAACCGCGCACTCGATGCGTATGATCCTCCAGCGCCTCGCATCGGCCGGCCTCGAGACCAAGCTCTTCTACTCGGCCCAGCGCGACCTCGTGTTTTGCAAGGTATTTGTCGGGTGCTCAGGTGACAATATTGTCTATCAACATTTCTCGATAGATCCGCGCGGCCCTCGAGCGGCTCTGCAAGGAGGCCGACCGTATCGACCTCAAGCTCGAGTTGGACCCCAAGCACCTCAAGGCATTGGCCGAGGCCGGCAACCCCAGCCATGGCATTGCACCCATCGTCATTGCAGAAGAGAGCCATCAGACGAAGCGCAGTCCGTACCAAAACATCTTTGGCAAGGTCTGATACGCTTGTCTGTTTTCAAAAAAAGAAAACACAATATTGTCTAGTACGACATGGACGAGCGGCTTCAAAAGGTCTACAAACGCTATGGCCCCAAGCGCATCCCGTTCCGCGGCGTCGACCGCATCAAGCTCATCCAGAGCATCATTGACGCGAGCACGACCGACGGCGGGTGTGGCCTCAACACGCAGCAACTTGTACTCGACCAGTGTGTCTTGACGGCCTATGCGCTGCACGACTTTGAGGAGCGTGAGAAGCTCAACGCCAAGTGGATCAACTGGTATGATATTTTTCTACACATGCACTGGCGTCTTATATACGGCACGCGGTAGGACGACACGGCCGTCGCAGCAACCGTTCCGAGAGATCAAAGACTACTATGGAGAGAAAGTCGGCCTCTACTTTGCCTGGCTCGGTACACACCTATGTTTCAACTTGACACTTTGAAAGAATACCATCAGGCCACTACACGTCGTGGCTCGTCGCGCCGTCGATCGTCGGCGCCATCATGCTGGCCGATATCGTCATTGAAGGCACGGTCGATGCGCGCTTCCTCGCTGCCTTTGGGATCTTTATGGCGCTCTGGGGCACGTACGTCCAGTCTCCCAGGATTATCTGCGTTCTTAGCCACATTCTTCTGGGTAGACTCTACCTCGAGTCGTGGAAGCGCCGCAACGCTGTCGTGCGCCTCGAGTGGGGCATGGACGGCTACGAAAAGGAAGAGAAGGACCGCGCCGAGTTCCGCGGCGAGGACGTTCCGTCGCCGATTGACGGCCGAACGATCAAGTATTTTAGCCCTGCCGAGCGCACGTCGCGAGTGCTTCGATCGCTTCTCTTCATCTTCGCACTCGTGCTCCTCGTCGTGGGCGCCGTGACCGCCATCTTCGTCTTTCGCTTTGTGAGCTCCAAGGGCCAGCCGTGGTACCCGTACACAACGATCTCCATGCACGGCAAGGATGTGCCGCTCGCATCGCCCATTGCATCGATGCTCAACGCCGGTACGTTTTTTTAGCTCGTCTTTGACCCAAACGATATCTAATGTCCTATTTGTGTAGTTCAAATTCAGGTCATGAACGGCATCTACATGAATGTCGCGGTGCGCCTCAACAACTATGGTTACCTTCTCAGTGAGATAAGACGTTGGACTCTGAATTTGACACTAGAAAACCACCAAACCAACACGCAGTACGAAGACAACTTGATCGCGAAAGCCTTCCTCTTCCAGTTTGTCAACTCGTACGCAAGTCTCTTCTACATTGCCTTTGTCAAAACCTATGTCGACGGGTGCTCGGCCGATGACGCCGGCGGCTGCATCTACGATCTTATGGTCGCGCTCGGCATCATCTTTGGCCTCCGCCTCACGTATGCTATTTGAACCCAATGCGATAGTCTCATAACATCACGGACAACTAGGTCGGGCAATTTTTTGAAGTCGTGCTCCCGTACCTCAAGCGACGCCTTAGCTGCAAGTGCTCCAAGGCGACCGACAGCGAGACGCGGGCCGTATCGATTGCCGAAGACAAATGGCTCTCGGTGTGTACGACGACATGGCCGTCTTTGGCGACTACAACGAGATGATCATTCAATTCGGGTACGTTGGATCCATTGTCGATGAAGCGAACGACAATATTGTGTGGTCTAGGTACATTACGCTATTCGTCATCTCGTTTCCGCTCGCGCCGTTCCTCGCGCTGCTCAACAACTACTTTGAGATTCGGATTGACGCGTTCAAGCTCGCAAAAGAGTCGCGCCGTCCCGACCCGAAAGGCGCCGAAGACATTGGCACGTGGATGACGATCCTCGAAATCCTCGGCGTCATCTCGGTCATGACCAACGTGGCGGCCGCCATCTTCACGTCGCACACTACCTTCAGCGGCCTCTCGGACGAAGCCAAGCTGATTGCGTTCATCGCGCTCGAGCACGCTGTGCTCATGGTCAAGTATGCGCTGACGATTCTCGTCGACGACGTGCCCGAGGACGTCCAGTTGCAACTCGACCGCGCCAAGTACGCCTGCGATTCTTTAAAAGTAGATAGACCGATATTTTCCAACGTACTAGGTTCCTCGTGGACAAGATCGTCTACTTGATCAAAGACGACGATGACGACGACCTCGTCAAGGGCAACAAGATCAAGGTCGACTTGACGGTCTACGACGAAGACGACGAGTGACAACCCTCCGTCAGCAATTCTCGTCAGCTTGCATTTGCATGTCAACTCAGAATGTCGACTGCTCTTTAATCCTCCAACGCGGTTGCATCGTGGATCTTTAATCGCCTGTTGAACCATGAACGATGGATGACGCGATGCATCGCGAGCGTCATCTCCGATCGCGTGGCTATGCCCAGGTCACGATCTCAGCCCTGGTCTCAGTAGCATCAAATTCAAGGGTCTGTCCATCGATTGGAGATTGATTTCAAAAGGCTTTAGGCACCACACTCTTAAAAAGCGCGCGAAAATAGACTGGAGGTCAAGTGCGAAACTACCTTGCACATCATCGCAACACGCAAGCTCGTTCTTGATTTTGCCCCGTCGGACGCAAGAGCAACCTCATTCCGCATGCGCTGGCTGTCGCTTGTCGCGGCGGTCGTCGGTCTTTTTCCCACTGTTTACGGTACGTCCTTACGTCGTAAGATGCCAGCACCGTGATCCATCATGGGCGTAGGCACGACATGTTCGTCTTCGAGTACGTGCAACCTGAACGTCAAGTGCTCGCTGCCGTTGGCGCAGCTCAGCGTCGGTGACGCAACCACATGCCAACAAGCCAGCACCATTGTGCCTTGCTCGTCTTGCGCGGGCGTCGGCCAGCAGTGCCACAACGCCCCCGAGTGCAGAGGTTCTATTGCTTTGATCGCGAGCTCCAACTCAAAAATGCGTAGATTCGCTCTTTTACTGCGAGTTTTTGTCGGCAGCCCAAGTGGCCGCGCTTCCAGCGGGTCACCCCTGTCTGTCGACCGCGTGCCAACTGAGCAAGCAGAGTCCTGCGTGCATCGCTTCCGTACACCGCCATGGTGTTTTCATGCTTGCTAATGTCTGTCTGGCTAGACGTTCCAAGCGTGCTGCGTGCCAGGCACACCGGGCTGCAACCAAACCGTGGCGCCTGCGGCTGGTTCCGGCTGCACGCCGAGCGGGTGCAGCTACTTTATGGGGCAGCCGACGATCACCCCCAACTACTCGGCGATCGCGTGTCCGTTTGCGAACGCGTCGGCCACGTGCATGACGCCGCAGTGCAACGCGTCGTCCATCTTTCGCAATATTGTCAATGTGTTCGCAGCCAACATTGGTTGCTCGGGCAGCGCTTGCATCCCTCCGCTCGTACTACGACCTCCTCCGTCTCTTCCATGCAAAGGACACGATTTCGATCTAGATTCCTGGCGTGTGCACGGCTGGCGTCAACCTCACGGCATCGACAACCCCGTCGTTTCCAGGCTGCACCAACTACTTGGTGGACTACTGCACCAAGAACCCATCGGAT